GGCGGGTGGATCACGAGGTCAAGAGATCGAAACCATCCTGGTCAACATGGTGAAACCCTGCCTCTACTAAAAAAATACAAAAAATTAGCTGGGCATGGTGGCATGTGCCTGTAATACCAGCTACTCAGGAGGCTGAGGCAGAATTGCCTGAACCCAGGAGGTGGAGGTTGCAGTGAGCCGAGATCGTGCCATTGCACTCCAGCCTGGGTAACAAGAGTGAAACTGCGTCTCAAAAAAAAAAAAATCTGGAGACAGGCCGAGCATGGTGGCTCACGCCTATAATCCCAGCACTTTGGGAGGCTGAGGCAGGTGGATCACAAGGTCAAGAGATCGAGACCATCCTGGTCAACCAGGTAAAACCCCGTCTCTACTAAAAATACAAAAATTAGCTGGGTGGTGCACACCTGTAGTCCCAGCTACTTGAGAGGCTGAGGCAGGAGAACTGCTTGAACCCAGGAGGCGGAGATTGCGGTGAGCCAAGATCCTGACATTGCACTCCAGTCTGGGTAACAACAGCGAAACTCCATCTCAAAAAAAAAAAAACATCTGGAGACAACAGATGCTGTAGAGGATGTGGAGAAATGGGAACACTTTTACACTGCTGGTGGGAGTGTAAGTTAGTTCAACCATTGTGGAAGACAGTGTGGTGATTCCTCAAGGACCTAGAAATAGAAATTCCATTTGACCCAGCAATCCCATTACTGGGTATATATCCAAAGGACTATATAAATCGTTCCACTATAAGGACACATGCACATGAATGTTCATTGCAGCACTGTTCACAATAGCAAAGACCTGGAACCAACCCAAATGCCCATCGATGATAGACTGGACAGGAAAATGTGGCACATATACACCATGGAATATTATGCAGCCATCAAAAACAATGAGTTCATGTCCTTTGTAGGGACATCGATGAACCTGGAAACCATCATTCTCAGCAAACTGACACAAGAACAGAAAATCAAACACTGCATGTTCTCACTTATAGGCGGGTGTTGAACAATGAGAACACATGGACACAGGGAGGGGAGCACTACACACTGGGGTCTGTTGGGGAGAAATAGGGGAGGGACAGCGGGGGGTGGGGAGTTGGGGAGAGATATCATGGGGAGAAATGCCAGATATAGGTGAAGGGGAAGAAGGCAGCAAATCACACTGCCACGTGTGTACCTATGCAACTATCTTGCATGTTCTTCACAGGTACCCCAAAACCTAAAATGCAATGAAAATTTAAAAAATTAGGCCAGGTGCGGTGGCTCACGTCTATAATCCCAGCACTTTGGGAGGCCAAAGTGGGTGGATCATAAGGTCAAGAGATCGAGACCATCCTGGTCAACATGGTGAAACCCTGTCTCTACTCAAAATACAAAAATTAGCTGGGCATAGTGGCGCACGCCTGTGGTCCCAGCTACTCGGGAGGCTGGGGCAGGAGAATTGCTTGAACCCAGAAGGCGGAGGTTGCGGTGAGCCGAGATTGTGCCATTGCACTGCAGTCTGGGTAACAACAGCGAAACTCCGTCTCAACAAAAATAAATAATTAAAAATAATAATAAAAAAATAAAGAAAAAAGAAAAAACAGACCTAAAAAATGATGTCCACTCAGAAGAGTAATGGCCTCCTGGCAACACTCTTTAACCTATTGTGAATAAGTTCTCTTTAACTTAATATTGCTCCAAGAGAAGTGACATATATTCTGTTTTTGATATCATCTGCAACAAATTTCCCATTAAAATTTCTCACCCACAATGGCCCTTCATCTTTTGTCTATCAAGACATAAGTCTGTTCATATATAAGGTTGGCTGCAATATTATTTACATACGTAAGTATACCCCATGAGTGCACACAAGAGATCCCTTTTTTATTTCCATTGTTTGTAGAGCCATAAAAAACAAACTGTGAACTAAGAGTGTTATGATAACAGAGATGTCTTTCATTTTTGATCCTGTAGAAAAAGCTGTCTACATCAAGGTTGCCGTCTACTTTTGATGAGAAAATTCTGCTTAGCTGTACCTCAAGATCTCCAATTAAGATTTCCAATATGGGGTCAGGTGTGGTGGCTCAAGCCTGTAATCCCAGCACTTTGGGAGGCCGAGGCAGGTGGATCATGAGGTCAAGAGATCGAGACCATTCTGGTCAACATGGTGAAACCCTGTCTCTATCAAAAATACAAAAAAGTTAGCTGGGTATGGTGGCGCTTGCCTGTAATCCCAGCTACTCAGGAGGCTGAGACAAGAGAATTGCCTGAACCCAGGAGGCGGAGGTTGCAGGGAGCTGAGATCGCACCATTGCCCTCCAGCCTGGGTAACAAGAGCGAAACTTCGTCTCAAAAAAAAAAAAATCTCCAATATGATTGCAAGACTTTAGCAGACCCTTACTGAGTTGTAAGGTTATGAACCCAAGGTTTAAAGTCCCAAAGTCTTGCTGCAGTGTAGATTACAAGCAGATTCAATCTCTTTGTTCAGGACTATAAAAGATTTTCCTGTTCCCAGTCAGTAGACTATTGAAAGCTTTTCAGGCCGGATGCAGTGGCTCATGCCTGTAATCTCAGCACTTTGGGAGGCCAAGGCAGGTGGATCACTTGAGACCAGGAGTATGAGACCAGTCTAGCCTAAAAACAAAAAAATTTGTAGAGTGTGGTGGTGCACACCTCCCAGCTACTCAGAAGGCTGAGGCCTGAGGATTGTTGAACCTAGAAGGCAAAGGTTGCAGTTAGCCAAGATTACACAGCTAAACCCTGGGTGACAGAATGAGATGATTAAAAAAAAAAAGAAGCCTTCTTTGCCTTGTGAACATATGGTGTGCCATAATGCATTAAAGCTTTGTCACATTTAGTAATATTAGACATCTGTAGCAGATGATACATGAGGTCCTATTATTAGGTGCATAGACCTTCCAATGACCATTTTATTTATTTATTAATTTTTTCTCTCGGCTCACCGCAACCTCCGTCTTCTGGGTTCAAGCAATTCTCCTGCCTCAGCCTCCCAAGTAGCTGGGACTACAGGCACGCACCACCATGCCCAGCTAATTTTTGTATTTTTTAGTAGAGACGAGGTTTCACCTTGTTGACCAGATGGTCTTGATCTCTTGACCTCATGATCCACCCGCCTCAGCCTCCCAAAGTGCTGGGATTATAGGCGTGAGCCACCGCGCCCGGCCTCCAATGACTATTTTATAAGGTCAATACATTTTTTTCCAGTCTAAGTGGATGTGACTATTGTCAGTTGGTATTACAAAAGGAGGCTAGTAAATTTAGCTAGCTTTGCTCAATACTGTTATATCTGGAATACCTTATTGAACAGTTTTACAACTTTTTTATTATTTATTCATTTAACTATTTACTTTTTTGAGATGGAACCTGGCTCTGTCACTCAGGCTAAAGTGCAGTGGCATGATCTCAGCTCACTGCAACCTCTGCCTCCCAGGTTCAAGTGATGATTCTGCTTCACCCTCCCGAGTATTTGGGATTACACATGCACGCCACCACGCCCACTAATTTTTGTATTTTTAGTAGAGATGGGATTTCACCATGTTGGTCAGGCTGGTCTCGATCTCCCGACCTCAGGTGATCTGCCTGCCTTGGCCTCCCAAAGTGTTGGGATTACAGGTGTGAGCCACCACATCCAGACTTTTTTTTTTGAGAAGGGTCTCACTCTGTCTCCCATGCTGGATTGCAATATTTGCTCACTACAACCTCCTTCCCCAGGGTTTTAGCAATTATCCTACCTCAGCCTCCTGAGTAGCTGAAATTACAGGCACTGGCCATGACACCAGGCTTTTTTTTTTTTTTGAGACAGTCTTGTTCTGTGTTCTGTCACCGGGCCCCAGGCTGGAGTACAGTGGTGCAGTCTCGGCTCATTGCAACCTCTGCCTCCCGGATTCAAGCAATTCTCCTGCCTCAGCTTCCCGAGTAGCTTGGACTACAGACACAAGTCACCATGCCCAGCTACTTTTTATATTTTAGTAGAGACAGGGTTTCACTATGTTGGCCAGGATGGTCTCGAACTCTTGACCTCGTGATCCTCCCACTTTGGCCTCCCAAAGTGCTGGGATTACAGATGTGAGCCACTGTGCCTGGCCATTTTTTTTTTTTTTTTTTTTAGATGCAGTTTCACTCTTGTTTTCCAGGCTGGAGTGCAAAGGCCCAATCATGGCTCCCTGCAACTTTGGCCTTTTGAATTCAAGTTATTCTCCTACCTTAGCCTCTGGTGCAGCTGGGATTACAGGTGCACTACTGCACCTGGCTAATTTTTTGTATTTTTAGTAGGGACAGGGTTTCTTCATGTTGATCAGACTGGTCTTGAACTCCTGACCTGAGGTTATCCGCCAGCATTAGCCTTCCAAAGTGCTGGGATATAGGCATGAGCCACTGGGCCTGGCCCAAATCTCCTCTTTATACATGCCTGTTACCCTTGCTGGACCTAACACATATAATTGTTTAATTTTAAAGTTTATGAGGAATTTTAATGTATCCTACTGAGAGATTATAGGATTGATTTTTTTAACGAAATTTAACGGTGCACACAAAAAATTTGAAAAGAACAACTTCACAGGGAGTGTTATTAACTTATATTTCGCTTGCCGGGCGCGGTGGCTCAAGCCTGTAATCCCAGCACTTTGGGAGGCTGAGGCGGGTGGATCACAAGGTCAAGAGATCAAGACCATCCTGGTCAACATGGTGAAACCCTGTCTCTACTAAAAATACAAAAAATTAGCTGGGCATGGTGGCGCATGCCTGTAGTCCCAGCTACTCGGGAGGCTGAGACAGAATTGCCTGAACCCAGGAAGGGGAGGTTGCGGTGAGCCGAGATCACGCCATTGCACTCCAGCCTGGGTAACAAGAGCGAAACTCCGTCTCAAAAACAAAAAACAAAAAACTTACATTTTGCTTAATAAGTACGTTTCACTTTTCCTCCTTAATTGGAGAACCCTATATAAGCTTATTTCTCTTCAGTGATTGTTATTGTTTTCCCTATCTATAACTGACATAATTCAGCTTATTGACTTTATTGCACCAAGTCGTTCAGATGAACAAGGTGAATCTTTCATAAATCATGAGGTTGTTTCAACATGTTAAAGAAATAAACAATTACAGGCTGGTGCTTGTAATATAATAGAAGCTTCATGAACATTTCTGTTTTAGTGAGTATGACTCCAGGTTGGAGATGGAAAATATTCAGGGTGAGACTGTCTGCTCTTCCTGTCCGACGTCTCATATCATCAGCCATGTCCTTGAGACACCGTGGGGAAGGTGAAGGGCGGAGTCAATGGATTTGGTCGTATTGGGCATCTGGTCACTAGGACTGCTTTTAACTCTGGTAAAGTGAATACTGTTACCCTCAATCATCCCTTCATTGACCTCAACTACATGGTCTACATGTTCCAGTATGACTCCACCCATGGCAAATTCCATGGCACTGTCAAGGCTGAGAACGGGAAGCTTGTCATCAATGGAAATCCCATCACCATCTTCCAGGAGCGAGATCCCTCCCAAATCAAGTGGGGCGATGCTGGCGCTGAGTACGTGGTGGAGTCCACTGGTGTCTTCACCACCATGGAGAAAGCTGGGGCTCACTTGCAGGGGAGAGCCAAAAGGTTCATCATCTCTGCTCCCTCTGCTGATGGCCTCAGTTCGTGATGGGCGTGAACATGAGAAGTAGGACAACAGCCTCAAGATCGTCAGCAATGCCTCCTGCACCACCAACTGCTTAGCGCCCCTGGCAAACATCATCCATGACAACTCTGGCATTGAGGAAGGACTCAAGACACAGTCCACGTCATCACTGCCACCTAGAAGACTGTGGACGGCCCCTCTGGGAAAACTGTGGTATGATGGCTGTGGGGCTCTCCAGAACATCATCCCTGCCTCTGCTGGTGCTGCCAAGACCATGGGCAAGGTCATCCCTTAGCTGAACAAGCTCACTGGCATGGCCTAATGTGCCCCACTGCCAACATGTCAGTGGTAGACCTGACCTGCCGTCTGGAAAAACCTGCCAAATATGATATCGTGGTGAAGCAGGCGTCAGAGGACCCCCTCCAGGGCATCCTGGGCTACACTGAGCACCAGGTGGTCTCCTCTGACTTCAACAGCAACACCCACCCTGACATTGCCCTCTATGAGCACTTTTCAAGCTCAGTTCCTGGCATGACAATGAATTTGGCTACAGCAACAGTGTGGTGGACCTCATGTCCCACATGGCCTCCAAGGAGTAAGACCCCTATGAGAGCATGAGAAAGAGAGGCCCTCACTGCTGTAGAGTCCCTGCCACACTGAGTCCCCCACCACACTGAATCGCCTCTCCTCATAGATTCCATGCAGACCCCTTGAAGAGAGAGGGGCCTAGGAAGCCCCACCTTGTCATCTATAATCAATAAAGTCCCCTGTGTTCAAAAAGAAAATATGCAGGGTGAGACAATAGCATCAATTCTTAATATGAAGAAAACACTTGAACTCAGGCTGCATAGCTGACTCTCTCTGAATTTAGAAAGGAATTCTGCTTTTATTTTTAGATGTTTCCCAGTTCCTTTCTGTCTCTATGTTCATCAACAGCGGCACAAGCTTCCCAGTCCTACCCCTTTGCCTGTATTGTGGTTACGGCGCTCTCACTGCCCAAGCCACCCTATGTCACTTTACACAGTATTTTGTAAAACCCTATGGAAAGTTTGAAAAATTTTTTTTGAGATGGACTCTTGCTCTATCACCAGGCTGGAGTGCAGTGCTGCAATCTCAGCTCACTGAAACCTCTGCCTCCTGGGTTCAAACAATTCTCCTGCCTCAGCCTCCTGAATAGCTGGAACTACAGGCATGTGCCACATGCCCAGCTAATTTTTGTATTTTTAGAAGAGACTAGGTTTCACCATGTTGGCCAGGATGGTCTCAATCTCTGGAACTTCTGATCCGCCAACCTCGGCCTCCCAAAGTGCTGGGATTACAAGTATGAGCCACTGCACCCAGCAAGAATTTTTTAATGTGGTGAAAATCATTAACTGGAGAGTTTTAGGGTATTTATAGGTTATAAATAAAACATTTTCATCACTTCATTGAGTCAAGAGAGATGCCCTGTTAGTGAGCCAGAGGATTCAATTAGACAATTAACATGAGTACCTAGTTCACCTAGTTTAATCCTGTCTTTGTATGTGAACAGTGCTGCAGTAAACATCTCAGTGCCAGTGTCTTTTTGGTAATATACTTTCTTTTCCTTTGAGTATATACACATTAATGGGATTGATGAACCAAATGGCAATTCTATTTTTAGTTATTTGGGAAATCCCCAAACTGTGTTCTACAGGGGCTACGTTAATTTGTATTTAAACCAAGAGTGTATAAACATTGTCTTTTCTGGCTGGGTGCGGTGGCTCACACCTATAATCCCAATCTTTGTCTCATGGTAGTACTTGACTTAAAGCATATTATGTCTTGGCCGGGCGTGGTGGCTCACGCCTGTAATCCCAGCACTTTGGGAGGCCGAGGCGGGTCAAGAGATCGAGACCATCCTGTCAACAAGGTGAAACCCCATCTCTACTAAAAATACAAAAATTAGCTAGGCATGGTGGCGCAGACTGTAGTCTCAGCTACTCGGGAAGCTGAGGCAGGAGAATTGCTTGAACCCAGGAGGCAGAGGTTGCGGTGAGCCAAGATTGTGCCATTACACTCCAGTCTGGGTAACAAGAGTGAAACTCCATCTCAAAAAAAAAAGAATCTGTATGTGTTCACAGGCAGAGACCATATGTTTAAGGAAAAATATGAATAAATTTTAAACTTTGTTGAAAATTCAGAAATGTAAAGAATTAATCAGTAACAATTTAATTGCACATTTCAAAATAACTAAATGTATACATTTGTCATGCAAAGGATAAATGCTGGAGGTGATGGATACTTCACTTACCCTGATGTGACTATTACATATTGTATGCCTGTATCAAAATACTCTATATATGGCATAAATATATACACATACTATGAACCCACAAAATGTTTTTTCTTGAGACAGAGTTTCGCTGTTGTTACCCAGGCTGGAGTGCAATGGCACGATCTCGGCTCACCGCAACCTCCGCCTCCTTGGTTCAAGCAATTCTCCTGCCTCAGCCTCCCAAGTATTTTTAGTAGAGACGGGGTTTCACATTGTTGACCAGGATGGTCTCGATCTCTTGACCTTGTGATCCACCCACCTTGGCCTCCCAAAGTTCTGGGATTATAGGCATAAGCCACCGCACCCGGCCTAGAAACATTCTTAGTATAATTATATGTGTGTGTGTGTGTGTGTGTTTGTGTATATATATATATATTTCTTTTTTTAGACAGTCTCACTCTTGCACCTCACTCAGGCTGGAGTGCAATGGCATGATCTTGGATCACTGCAACCACCACTCCCAGGCTTCAAGCTATTCTCCTGCCTCAGCCTGCAGAGTAGCTTGGCTTACAGGCATGCACCACCATGCCTGGCAAACTTTTCTATTTTTAGTAGACAGGATTTCTCCATGTTCGTCAGGTTGGTCTTGACTCTTCACCTCAGGTGATCTGCCTGCCTGGGCCCCTCAAAATGGCTGGGATTACAGACGTGAGTCACTGCACCTGGTTTTACTTCCATAAAACAATATATTATGAATTCAATCAATTGTAACTGAAATTAAGAATGTTTTTTACCATAATGCAGAATATTACTCTGAACAACTGATACATCACCCAATATTCTATGTTAACCACAAAGAGACTCACCACTTCTATTTTCATCATACAGCTCACATTTTAATGTTTTTTGTTTGTTTCTTGAGATGGAGTTAAGCTCGTTACCCAGGCTGGAGTGCAATGGCGCGATCTTGGCTCACCGCAACCTCCGCCTCCTGGGTTCAGGGAATTCTCCTTCCTCAGCCTCCTGAGTAGCTGGGATTACAGGTACGGGCCACCAGCCCCAACTAATTTTTTTTTTTTGTATTTTTAGTAGAGACGGGGTTTCATCATGTTGACCAGGATAGTCTCGATCTCTTGACCTCGTGATCCACCTGCCATGGCCTCCCAAAGTTCTGGGATTATAGGCGTGAGCCACCGCGCCTGGCCCATTTTAATGTTCTTAGTCTTTTTCTATTTCTTTTTTTCTATTGAGATGGAATCTAGCCCTTTTGCCCAGGCAGGAGGGTACACAGAAATAGTGTGCTTTTTAAAATTTTATTTATTTATTTATTCTGAGACGGGGTTTCACTCTTGTTACCCAGACTGGAGTGCAATGGCACGATCTCGGCTCACCGCAACCTCTGCCTCCTGGGTTCAAGCAATTCTCCTGCCTCAGTCTCCCGAGTAGCTGGGACTACAGTCACACACCACCATGCCCAGCTAATTTTTGTATTTTTAGTAGACACGGGGTTTCACCTCGTTGACCAGGATGGTCTTGATCTCTTGACCTCATGATCCACCCGCCTGGGCCTCCCAAAGTGCTGGGATTACGGGCGTGAGCCACCGCGCCCGGCACCTTGTTACATTTGTAATATTTTTCTTCAAAATGATTACTTTTTCAGATTAAAGGCTTATTTTTTCTGAATGCTCTTTTGATAATAATTGCATTTATCATGCTTTTCTTAAGTACTACCTTTCTAATGCTGAGTAAGATGTGAGCAGATACTAATGGCTTTTCCACATTCTTTATATTTGTATTTCTTTAGTATACATGGTTTTCTGTGCAGTGAGATATGAGCATAAATTAAGTTTGGCCACATTGTTCATACCTGTAGTTCGTTCCAGTATGAATTATCTATAGTCAAGTGTGACAGCTATTTAAAGACTTGGTCACGTTCTTCACATTTCCAGAATTTCTCACCAATATGATGACTTTTATGCTTATAAGTGTGAGGTGTTGTCAAAATTATTGCCACAGCTTTCAGGTTATTAGTTGCTCTCCAGTATAAATTTTCTTTTCTTTTTTTTTTGAGACGGAGTTTCGCTCGTTACCCAGGCTGGAGTGCAATGGTGCGACCTCTGCTCACCACCACCTAGACCTCCTGGGTTCAAGCAATTCTCCTGCCTCAGCCTCCTGAGTAGCTGGGATTACAGGCGCACACCCCCATGTCCAGCTAATGTTTTTCTATTTTTAGTAGAGATGGGGTTTCACCATGTTGACCAGGATGGTCTTGATCTCTTGACCTCATGATCCACCCTCCTCGGCCTCCCAAAGTGCTGGGATTATAGGCGTGAGCCACCTCGTCTGGCCTAAATATTCTTATATTTAGTAACATCTTCGAATTGGTTAAAGGCTTTGCCACATTCTTCACATTTGTAAGGTTACTCTTCAGTATGACTTTTCTTATGTCTAGAAAGATTTGACAAATGGTAAACGCTTTGTCACATTCATAGTTTTTTCTCCAGTATGAAATTTCTTATGTTCAGTAACACTTGAGAATTGGTTAAAAGCTTTGCCACATTCTTTACATTTGTAGGGTTTCTCTCAAGTATGAATTATCTTATGGCTAGTAAGCATTGAAGATCAGTTCAAAATTTTGCCACATTCCTCATGTTCGTAGGGTTTCTCCCCTTTATGAACTTTTTTATGTTTAATAAGGTTTGAAGACTGGTTCTTATTTGTTAGGTTTCTCTTCAGTATGAATTTTCTTATGGGCAGTAAGGTTGGAGGACCATTTAAAACTTTTGCCACATTCTTCACATTTGTAAGGTCTCTCTCCAGTATGAATTTTCTTATGAGTAGTAAGAGTTGAGGACCGGTTAAAGGCCTTGCCACATTCTTCACATTTGTAAGGTTTCTCACCAGTGTGAATTTTCTTATGACAAGCAAGGCCTGCGTACAGGTTAAAGGCTTTCCCACATTCTTCACATTTGTAAGCTTTCTCTCCAATATGAATTTTCTTATGAGTAGCAAGGGTTGAGGAGTGCTTATAGGCTGTGCCACATTCTTCACATTTATAAGGTTTCTCTGCAGTATGTATTTTCTTATGAGTACTAAGTGTTGAGGACTGGGTAAAGGCTTTGCCACATTCTGCACATTTGTAGGCTTTCTTTCCGGTATGTATTTTCTTATGAGTAGCAAGTGTTGAGGATTGATTAAAGGCTTTGCCACATTCTTCACATTTGTAGGCTTTCAATCCAGTATGAATTTTTTTATGAGTAGTAAGGTGTGTGGACTGGTTAAAGGCTTTGCCACATTCTTCACATGTGTAAGCTTTCTCTCCAGTATGAATTTTCTTATGAGTAGTAAGTGTTGAGGACCGGGTAAAGGCTTTGCCACATTCTTCACATTTGTAAAATTTCCCTTCAGTGTGAATTTCCTTATGTTCAGTAAGTTTTGAGGATCGGATAAAGGCTTTGCCACATTCCTCACATTCGTAGGGTTTCTCTCCAGTATGAATTTTCTTATGAGTAATAAAGTTGGAGGACCATTTAAAACCTTTGCCACATTCTTCACATTTGTAGGGCTTCTCTCCAGTATGAATTTTCTTATGGGAATTAAGGCTGGAGGACCATTTAAAACATTTGCCACATTCTTTACATTTGTGGGCTTTCTCTTGAGTATGAATTTTCTTATGTTTAATAAGGTGTGAGGACTGCTTAAAGGCTTTGCCACAATCTTCACATTTGTAAGGTTTCTCTCCAGTATGAATTTTCTTATGATTACTAAGGTTTATGGAATGGATAAAAGCTTTGCCACATTCTTCACATTCATAGGGTTTCTCTCCAGTATGAATTTTCTTATGGGTATTAAGGTTGGAGGACCATTTAAAACCTTTGCCACATTCTTCACATTTGTAAAATTTCTCTTCAGTATGAATTTTCTTATGTTTAGAAAGGTTGGAAGACCATTTAAAACCTTTGCCACATTCTTCACATTCATAGGGTTTTTCTCCCGTATGAATTCTCTTATGGTAAGTAAGAATTGAATGCCTGTTAAAGGCTTTTCCACATTCTTCACATTTGTAGAAATTTACTCTAGTATGAATTCTGCTATGTCGAGTTAGGTCTGAAATCATGCAAAATGATTTGCTGCATTCTTTACATTTGAAAGGTTTCTTTTTAGTATGTCTTCTCTTACGTCTGTTTGAATTTGAAAACTTATGAAAGACTTTCACATATTTATCACATTGAAACACTTTGCTCTGGGTAGTTCTCAAACATTGGTTGAGTCCATTATAACCTCCTTTGTGCACCTTACACTCACACACACTTCTACAGCCTTTTGTTAATGGTAAATTCTCATGTCTACATTTTCCATATCTTTCCAGTGTCACTTTTTGGAAAGAAGCTTTTATATTCTTCCCTGGCCAAAGGTCTTGGGCAAAATGAGAATGCATAACTGAAACAAATAAAAATAACAAATTATTACACTTGCGAGACTTAGATAAAGAGACTTTACAAATATAACCTATACAATTAAGCAAACTACATGAGTTTGATGACATAGCAAAATTCCACAGGCCTGAAATCCATCATAGACATATAAATGTTACAAATCTTACTGAGTAAAATATATCTGTGGAAATTTTAAAAATGAATTAAGTGGCCGGGCGCGGTGGCTCACGCCTGTAATCCCAGCACTTTGGGAGGCCGAGGCGGGTGAATCACAAGGTCAAGAGATTGAGACCATCTTGGTCAACATGGTGAAACCCCGTCTCTACTAAAAATATAAAAAATTAGCTGGGCGTGGGGGTGCATGCCTGTAATCCCAGCTACTCAGGAGGCTCAGGCAGGAGAATTGCTTGAACCCAGGAGGCGGAGGTTGCGGTGAGCCGAGATCGCGCCATTGCACTCCAGCCTGGGTAACAAGAGCGAAACTCTGTCTCAAAAAAGAAAAGAAAGAAAGAAAGAATGTGTATAGATAAAAACATTTGACTGAGTACTCATGAAAGCAGTGGCTGTCAATATACGGCAGTAACATTTCAGAGAAAATGCAGTATAAGCATAAATAGAATATTGTGATATTTTATAGTCATTTAAAATAAACCAGAGATAAATTTTTCTTTAAATATATGCTATTCTTACACAAAATGAAACTGCTGCCATCCAACTTTAGAAGCAAATAGCCTTACATTGATAAATATAAACACATACACATACACACACACACACACACACACACACAGAAGAAAATGGTTAGAGCCTCTGATATATAAAACATATATTTGGGGCCGGGCACAGTGGCTCACGCCTGTAATCCCAGCACTTTGGGAGGCCGAGGCGGGTGGATCACGAGGTCAAGATATCGAGACCATCCTGGTCAAAAAGGTGAGACCCCCATCTCTACTAAAAATACAAAAATTAACTGTGCATGGTGGCGTGCACCTGTAGTCCCAGTTACTCGGGAGGCTGAGGCAGGAGAATTGCTTGAACCCAGGAGGCGGAGGTTGCGGTGAGCCGAGATCGTGCCATTGCACTCCAGCCTGGGTAACAAGAGTGAAACTCCGTCTCAAAAAATAAATAAATAAAAGCATAAGACAGAAGATGCTGCAATGTGAGTGCAAACAAACAAACAAAAAAACTCAGGCTTCCCAGAAACTATTTTCTTTGAAACAGAGCTTCCCAAATCAGTTTTTTTTTTTTGAGAAGGTCAAAGACTTTCTCTTTGACCTTCATCTATGTTGTCTGTTGTATTCATTTTCACTCTCACCTACCTGGGGGCTTGGCCACCATGATCTCCTGTCTCTTCCTACTCCAGACTTCTTTTTCTTGCTCCAAAGAAATGATCAGGTCTGGCTTACAGACTGCAATACCTGTTTCATTAAAAATAAATAACATTTAGCCTGCTCATCTTCTCCAATGACCGACTCAATAATGTGCTCAGCTACTGCATTAAACCTAATATACTAGTTTATAACAGACTTTTCCAAATATCTACGAAACATTTTTGATTTGTAGGTTCTTAATTTTACTCTCCAGGACTATTGAAACAAAAATTGGTGTTGTCAATTAGATTTTAAAGTGTGGGCAAAAATACTTTATGCCACTAAATTTGTGGAATTACCACTACTCTAGACTGAAGGATTTAGATCAGGTCAGAAATGTGGACAGTTAAGGTCAAAATGAAACATCGTGGAGTAATTCTCTTCTACATGGATTAACATCTAAGAATTTCTTCAAAACAGGGATCTGAAACTAATTTATGCAAAGCATACTTTACCAAAAAGCATTCCAGAAAGAAAAGAAATAAAATCTTTAGCACATATTAAGAATTGCGTATCGAAGTTTTCCTCACCCAGGAAGACCAGGTTTCTGTAGTTCTCTAACATCACGTTTCTATATAAATTCTGCTGGGCAGCATCCAGGCACTGCCACTCCTCCAGGGAGAATTCTATGGCCACGTCACTGAATGTTAGTGGTCCCTGAAAAATACACACACACACACACACACACACACACACACAATTACCAAGTGGTCACAGAAAGCATTTTTAATTTGAGTCAAGGTGCAGTGAGAGAGTAAAGAGAATTGTTTCTGACTTAATAGGAGTGACTGAAATTATAAAATAAAGTAATTTAATACAGAAATCTTTCCTAACGTATTTTTTAACTCTAAGAGAGTGGCATAAGATTCACAATATTAGTGTATACATGATACTTCTCTAGATGATACAGTATAAAATTCAGGGAATAAAAAGGTATATTTTTGAGTGCTATGTTTGCATTCTATAGAAAGAGTTGTGCATATTCCTCAGATGGAAAAGACATGTTGAGTTAGAAGGTACCTTTTAAATTTTAATGTGAACAATAAACTGGAGAGCTTGTTAATAAAGATTATTTTCTTAAATGATCTGGAATAAAGTCTGATTGTCTGAATTTCTAACAAGCTCAACAGGAATGTCAATGTTTTTTGGCCAAGAAGAACATTTTATCAAACATCCAGTAAGGGGAAGAGCCTGTGTTTTTCCTAGTGTATCTGGCCTGTAAACAAAGATAAGAGCTTTCATTTTCCAAAGACAGATATATGCAGAGAAAACCTAATTTAAGAAAGGCAGCTGCTGGATTAACTGTGATGGTTTATGCACATTAGCTGCATTATGATAACAACGAAGAGAAAAATACTTAACTCTATAGTGACAAAATCTGTCAGAGAGCTCTTTAACCAAGTGAATCATTAACATCAACTGCACTAGGACAAAGTTTTATGATGTGCTGATGCACACAGCATCATGACTGTGATATTGCCCCTCCAAAACTGAATTACAGTCTGAATTTTAACACAAAAAATTAGTTTCGTGCAAAGTTCAGGATACAGATATCTTCTCTGTTCTATAATTTGTAACAATAATTTTAAGTGGTCTCTCTTTAGTGCCCTAGAGGGCAGGTATCTCCTGATAATTTTTTAAAAACTTTCTGCGTAATAAAGTTTATTTTATTTAACTAAGCATTTGCTTAATCCTGTTTTGCACAGAGGTAATGGAGAACGCAGATGGAACTTCAACATTACATGTTTTCCTTCTTTACAAACTACTCCAGCTTTTCCCCAAAAGGAATCTCAAGTATCCACACCTTTCATGTACAACAGCCACAGAGGGAACATTTTTAATACTGCAGATTATAAATTCATGGTAGAAATTCTGTGTGGTGTATAAGAAGTCACAGTGTAAAGAATGTAGAAAAGGCTCTGGTATATATAAAATAATATTTTTGATAGAAGCTTGATTATCATAAGAATTTTTAAAAGTAGTTAAAATAAGGCCGGGTGTGGTGGCTCACGCCTATAATCCCAGCACTTTGGGAGGCCGAGGCGGCTGGATCACGAGGTCAAGAGATCGAGACCATTCTGGTAAACGAGGTGAAACCCCGTCTCTATTAAAAATACAAAATTAGCTGGGCATGGTGGTGCGCGCCTGTAGTCCCAGCTACTCGGGAGGCTGAGGCAGGAGAATTGCTTGAACCCAGGAGGCAGAGGTTGCGGTGAGCCGAGATCGCGCCATTGCACTCCAGCCTGGGTAACAAGAGTAAAACTCCGTCTCAAAAAAAAAAAAAAAAGATGTCAGCACCACCTGCTTGCCTGCTACCACCAGACCCACAGGCAGAAGGACCAAGACCTGCAGAAAAAGCTCACTCATTTCTGTCCTTTAAAGCAAAAAAGACTCACGAACAATGTGCTGAAAATGTGGCACAAAGAGACGAAAAATTGAGCACATGGAGATCTAAATATGTTTCACTTTCCTTTTCTCAGGGGCCCTTTCCTGTTACAAACATCACAAATTTCTGCTACCGTAATAAAAATATGGGCCGCAGCTGGGCAAGGTGGCTCCTGCCTGTAATCCCAGCACTTTGGAAGGCCGAGGCTGGTGGATCAAGAGGTTATTAGATGGAGACCATTTTGACTAACATGATGAAATCCTGTCTCTACTAAAAATACAAAAATTAGCCGGGCGCGGTGGCTCACGTCTGTCATCCCAGCACTTTGGGAGGCCGAGGAGGGTGGATCACGAGGTCAAGAGATCCAGACCATCCTGGTCAACATGGTGAAACCCCGCCTCCACTAAAAATACAAAAAATTAGCTGGGCATAGTGGCGCGTGCCTGTAATCCCAGCTACTCAGGAGGCCGAGGCAGGAGAATTGCCTGAACCCAGGAGGCGGAGGTCGCGGTGAGTAGAGATCGCGCCATTGCACTCTAGCCTGGGTAACAAGAGCGGAACTCCGAGTCAAAAAAAAAAAAAAAAATTAGCCCGGTAAAATGGCACGTGCCTGCAGTCCCAAATCCTTGGGAGTTTGAGGCAGTAAATCACTTGAACCCAGGCAGATGTTGCATTGAGCCAAGATCGCATTATTGCACGTTACCCTGGTCAACAGAGTGAGATTCTGCCTTGGCAAGAGAAAAAAGAAAAGAAAATATGGGTCACATTGCCCTGTTCCTACCAAACCTAAACAGAAGCAGTCCTGTGGCCACCTTTTAATACAAAGGTGGAGCTTAACTAACGAATGTACCTGGAACACCTCATACTTAATTCTGACCTCACTTTAGAGTCACATGAGGCACTTGATTACAACAGCATGGATGCCTCCACCCAGAACAATAAACAGAATCTGTGGAAAGGGCACAAATAAAGAGATGTCTGCACATTAACCATGGAATCTTAATGAGAAGTCCGAGCTAATAACCACTTAGCTAAGCATTGCCTCTCAAGTTTTTTTTTTTTTTTGTTTTTTGTTTTTTTAATAAAGACGGGGTTTCCCCATGTTGGTCAGGCTGGTCTTGAACTCCCGGCCTCAGGTGATCCTCCCACCTTGGCCTCCAAAGTGCTTGGATTACAGGCGTGAGCCACCAAGCCTGGCCTCAAGTTTTAATGAGATTAGAAATCACTTGGTAGTTTTGGCTCCATTCTATGCCATCTGATTCTGTAGATCTGGAAAGGGTCCATGGATGAATGTTTTAAACAAGTTCCCTGTAAATCCTGTTGTTCCTCCCCCTGAACTCATTATTAGCATTAGTTAGAGAAAGCAGGCACAGCACAGAGTCCCTAACACTCAGCACCCTTGTCACAACGCAAATGCTTCAGGTTCAAATAAAGACAACTCATCTCTGCCCGGCTCAGTGGCTCATGCCTGTGATCTCAGGGTTTTGAAAGGCTAAGGTGGGTAGATCATGTGAGGTTGGGAGTTCAGACCAAGTTGACCAACACGGACAAACCCTGTCTCTGCTAAAAATACAAAAAAATTAGCCGGGAATGGTGGTGCATGCCTGTAATCCCAGCTACTTGGGAGAGTGAGACAGAAAAATTGCTTGAACCCGAGAGACAGAGGTTGCATGAGCTGAGATCATGCCATTGCACTCCAGCCTGGACAACAAGAGTGAAACTGTCTCAAATACATACATGTATGCATGCATGCATACATACATACATACCACCCATCTCCATCCTGAAGTTTCATATTCTTTGCTTTCTCCTTAAAGTTTACAGAGGAACAGAAGGCAGTAATATCGGAATTAGCCTGCATTTGGCAACATGTACACAGGTACTAATGCAAGGTTTATTAAGCAGGAACTATGTGCTCAAGAGGATGTTTTAGAGCACTGCGTTGGGAATAACACATTATGTGATTTCATCCTCATAACACCCTGAAAGCTGGTATTAGGTGTTTAACAATTCTCAGGATTTAAAGAGAGGGCCCAGCCTTTCCATTTCTTCTGTTACTCTGTCGTTGATTTTTTTTTTAATTGTATAGAATAAAAGCTAAATATAGACAGATGAGAGAAATACAGAAAAAAGTTTAATGTACTTTAAGGAAGTTTTCATCGTGTTTATGTTTAACTTTATGTGACTTGTAGACAAACTACCAAATTTGAAGAAATAGAAAACAAGCTGTTAAATCTCCAAGCACTGGATTTAATAAAAAAATTTAAAACTAAGATGTTAAAATACATATTTCCTTTTTCTTTTTTTTTTTTTTTAGAGACAGAGTTCCGCTGTTGTTACCCAGACTGGAGTGCAATGGCACAATCTCGGCTTACCGCAACCTCCGCCTCCTGGGTTCAAGCAATTCTCCTGCCTCAGCCTCCGGAGTAGCTGGGACTACAGGCACGCACCACCATGCCCAGCTAATTTTTGCATTTTTAGTAGAGACGGGGTTTCACCTCGTTTACCAGGATGGTCTCGATCTCTTGACCTCGTGATCCACCCACCTCGGCCTCCAATTACAGGCGTGAGCCACCACGCCCGGCCAAAATACATATTTTCTTTTTACCATTTATCTGCTTTGGGGTTTTAGGAAATTGTGAGCACCAGCTCTAGAAAGGCACCAACATTCATCAGACAAAATTCTGATCTTTTCTTTTCTTTTGAGATGGAGTCTCCCTCCGTAACCCAGGCTGGAGTGATTGCAATGACATGATCTCAGCTCACTGCAACCTCCACCTCCCAGGTTTGAGCAATTCTCCTGCAATTCTCCTTCTGAGTAGCTGGAATTACAGGTGTACACCACCACACCCTGGTAATTTTTGTACTTTTTTTAGTAGATGGAATTTTGCGATGTTGGCAAGTACTCTTGAACTCCTCACCTCTCAAAGTGCTGGGATTACAGACGTAAGCCATCGTGCCTGGCCCAAAACTCTGATATCCTCTAACAAATTGTGTGAGGCAAGACACCAGTGTGGGGCCAGACCTAAATAAGGCCTCCAAAAAGATTAGATCTAAACAGAACTCAGACAGGGAGAGGACTCTATGTAGAATTCTGTTCTCTATGCGACTGGGGTATTCTCTATGCAGTTCTTTTTTCTAAGCTTACCAAGGAGAAACTTAAATCTCAGTTTGTGTAATTTTAACCTTTATAAGCCACTGCTCTCTCAATTTTATAACATATACTAATAAGCAATTTACAGAAATATTTTAAGGTTTTGTAGGGTAAGTC